TCATGCTCCAGCCACAGCCGCCACTGTATTTTCTTCACTTTGGTCTGTCCTCCCACCTGCCCATTTCCTCTTCTCCCGCTCTGTAACCTTCAGGGCCTGCAGGCTGAGCAAACCACCTCCATCACACAGCCTTCCCCCAACCTCCATTCCATAGAACAATCACTTTGAGAAGAGACACTCGCAGAGATTTGTTCTCAGAATGAATAAAATATAGGGGAAAAAAAACCTGAATACACCCCACAACCACTTCTTGGGAAAAATACGATGCAACGGCACCATTCCCTGTAACCTGCCACCATAAAGTTTTATTACCAAGAAGTCCCCTGTTATGAAAGATCAGTGCTGTCGTGCTCTAAGCACCAGATCCTAGCGATAGGCAGCTTGATGTACGTATCACTCGGCAATTAATTCAACTACCAAACAGCAGTCTACAGCATTTTTTTAAAAAATATCATGTTACTACCATTTGCGATATTTTACCACAATACACCTGGCCTTCCCATAAAAAGGGCCACTATGTCAACTGGATTCTCGTACCAATTTCATCTACCACTTCAATCATCTTCTCCAGTTCATCAGGACAGATGTCAGGGCAGTGTGTGAAGCCAAAATAGATCAGCACCCACTGGCCGATGTAGTCCTTGCTGGTCTTGGGCTGTCCCTCATGGCTGATGAGCGAGAAGGGCCCTCCTAGCAGGGGCTTTCCAATGCCTCGGTTTCGTTCCTTCTCCAGCTCTACAAAAAACAAGAGGGGATCAAACACATCCAGGCCACAATCCACACCGCTTCCCATGTGAGCCTCAGAAGCAGTCGAGAGTCAGGCAGCCTCGCAGAGCCACGGCCCAGGGTGCTGAACGTTGAGATCTTGTGCCCATCACGCAGAAGACCAACGTGGACAAGATTTCCAAAAAGCATTCGATTTGGGGCAAAATCAAATGCATCACTAAATTCCTTTGAAACATAGTAACTTCTTTCATTGTCATCCGATTATATTTTGATTTTAAAAAAAAAAAAAAAAAAGGAAAACAAAAAAAAAGAGAAAGATGGGTACCTGGCTTTGTGTGAAACAGAAAAGTCAGTATCCTTTACAAACTGAACACATCCTAAAAGCTGCAGTATCTCTGATTTTCAACACTAAAAACATGAAAACGAAACGCACGGGCAGTTGCTGCAGGACATGGAAACACACACACACCCCCCACACACAGAGGGAAACCGCCGCGCACAGAGAACGCCACCTCCGGCGCTTCCACGCTCGCCGCCCGGCTGCGGGGTGCGTCAAACACAACCACTCCGACAGCAAAAGCGTTACTTAAAATTTTAAAGTGCTTAACCTTTAAGTTCCTTTTGAATTTCTGAACACTTTCTGCGGCACTTACATACACACAGGCACAAAGACGAGGCACTAGCGGGAGATGTCCCTGCCCGTGGCACTGGGGCGGGACGAGATGGCCTTTACGGTCCCTTCCAGCCCCAACCACGCCGTGATTCCACGAAGCGGCACCGCGCGAAGCACGAGGTGACTCAGCGGGATGCCAAAGTGGGTAAAATGCATCCGAACGCAAACCCCGCATCCTCTGAACACGAGACACGTCGCT